GGGCAGAGGCTTTCTTTACTCAGTGTTTCCATATTGTGTAGGGTTGAGGAGCTCTTTTGGACTCACCATCTTCCAGGACCAACTAGACCCGAAACAGTACAGATCTCGTGTAGTCTGAGATCCCCAATATTTCCTGGGGGATCATCATCATCCTCCCTCTCCTTTAGGAGCTAAAGGGTCTAAGTGGGGGTTCACATGGGAATGGGGAGGTACTTGACTCTCAAAGATGCTCCCAGTGGTTGCTGTGACTGCTTCCTCTCCACCTCTATAGAGGATACAGAGAGAACAGGTAAAGAGAGACAAAGAGAGGGCCTCTCCTGATAGGAGACTCTTTAGAAGCTTGGAGTCAGGAATATGGTGGTAGGAGACTCATGCTTATTTATGTGCCCTGTTAAAGTGTTTCTTGTCTTAAATGTAGACTGGGATCTTTGAACTCCAAAACTCAGAACTTGATAGTTTTATTTCTCTGCTTCCACTATGATGAGAAATTGAAGGAAGAAAAGAATTTCCTGTAGTTGGCTAATAACAATCAACAATACTATTTAAACTGTTCTAGAAAATAGAAACAAAGCATTGCAAAGTTCCATTTTCTGCCAGTCTGCCATAACCTGAAACCAAAACTGTGAATATGGACAACATGCAAAAAAATTTAAATAAAATATGAACTTACCTGTTTTAACAGTCTTTTAAAATAAATAATACATCATCACTAGGTTATATTCCAGGAATGCAATATAGATTACTTATATTCTTGTGTAATTTTTCTGTACTCAACAAGGAAGCAATGAGCAAGCCACTATGTGGAAAGGTATACTACAAAAAAATAATTATATACGCCTCAAGGAGCCTAATATCCGGTTGGAGAGACAAACACAAAAGTTGAACAACATAAAAATGTAAATAATTCATGATTTACAAAAGAAATACTCAAAGGCAGTACCCTGTTCTTTCAGATGAATTATATAAATATGCACTAGATGTTCATAGAAATCCCAATCACTTGATTCCAGAGTGGTAGGAAAGACTGTACAAAGAAGGGCAGTATGTGTTTCATTTTAAAAGATGGGTTGAACTTGTACGTGGTGAGAATATTTCAGGCAGGTAATCCAGCAGGTGAAACTGTGAACGAAGGAAAGCTGAATATGTACATGTTCAGTCAACAGTGAGCAAACTTTCTGTGATAGAAAAATGAAATGTTACGGTTTAGAGACATTGTGAGTTAAACTTCCACTCCTGAGGAAATGTTAATTTAAAAGATATGTTATATATCTTTTTCCGTAGTCAGCTGGTAAAACAATTTGGAGTATCTTGACCTGCCTGAGGGGCACACTTGTTCTGTGTGAATAGTGAGGTCTATTGGTTGTAAGTTCAGTGTACACCTCCTTCACACAGTTACTCCAGAGTGCTTTTAAAGCCCCCATTTACATTCTCTTGACTTTCTCCCAAATCTTGGCTGCAAAAACAGTCAGCTCCTCTGCCATCTATTTTACCTTGATTTTCTGTACCCAGTTTCTGGATCTGTTTTTTATTATCCTCATCAAGATATACTCATCCAATCTAAAGCAGAGATAAAATTGTTGCCAAAATTATGCAGGAGTAAATTCATATGTACTGAAGCTTTCACAAATGAAATTGAACCTGGGGAGAAATACCGTGCTACATTGAAAGCGTTTTTCTCCCCTCACATACACATGAATAATTTGTTTAATTGAGCTCTGGATTCCTTGGGGCACAAAGACTAAATATTTATAGTTCTTTGTGTACACTAGATGGTTAGTGGGAGCTCCCCACAACAGCTCCAGAGACAGAATTATTAGCTGGTTCAGATGGGAACACATAGCAAACTTATTTCTCTAGCTGGGCATATTGACAGAAAAGTCCCTACCTATTTACAGAATTTGAGCCACTCTCCTCACCTCCCACCTCTTCCACCTCCTACAGATTGTGTTGTATTCTTCCTTCTACTTCTGGTGCCTCGTAAAGTCTTTGATCCTACTGCATTACTCTCTCACTTACACAGATCTCACCGTCCCTCCCCTGAATCCAAACAATGCTTGCCTTTTCAAGATGTACTCCATTTTGCCTCAGCTTCCTTTATTCCTTCTAAGAGGGCATTGCAAAAACATCTGCTTCTATTCTGCATCCACTTCACCTCTTTTAACTTTTCTCAGTCTCCAATTTTCTCCTTTGTCATTATCCCAAACATATTTCACTTAGACTCTAAATATTGATTGGTTGGTTAGTTCTGCATAATACAAAAGGGTTGCTGACTCTACTTAAAAAGTAATGAGAATTATGACTTCCCACAGAATACGTAGAGAGCAGATAAACTCTTAGTGTGACAAACTGAGAAAATAAACACTTTATCTTATTAGATTGTTTCCACAGGGATGCAAATGAAACAAGTGATACGTCACCACCATCAACTAAATTACAAACACTGCTTAGGTTTATTAAATCCATTATTATACCTGCAGCCATTTTTTAAATTATTGTTTTTGAAATTATTATCTTGGTCAAAAGAGCAGGAAAAATGCTCATCGAATCAATAATGTATCCTTTTAACCTAACCCTAACTCCTAAGAGTGGTTGCAAATATGTGAACGATTGGTTAATGTAAGGGTCCTTCAGGGAATAAGGGGTCAATGGAGCATAAACAGCAGCAGTCAGGGTGCAGCCAAATTACCCTGTAAACCAGTTGCTGTTCTATGAACAGATAGGAGGTGAAGTCTAAAAATGTTAAATCATGAAGATCTGGAATCTGCATTCACTTAAATTCATTTGGTTTCTCTTAGCTGTGGCAGATCGACTTTACTTACCCTGTCTGAATTATATCCCTCATCCTTACCATGGCTTCATAGTGGGCAAAGTGGGCTTCCCACCTCAAAAATTTGAGGCATTACTTGCTAATTTTAAAGATAACATTAAATTGGACCAAGTAGCTGATTTTATGTGGGCATTGTTCCTTTTGTTTAAGCCTCCATTATAAATAGGATTATTACATTTGTTCTTTTGTGATTTTTTAGCTCACCAGATTATCAAGTCAGGATCATGGGTTGTTCACCTCTATTTATATAGAGCCTGGAACATTGGTAATGCTTACTACATGTTTGATTAGTGAAAAAGTGAGTGGTTATGAATGGAAGAGCTGGGAACAAAGAGGAAAAAAGGCACTTTCATGGGCCTATGATGTGACAGAACAGGCATGAAAGAGCAAAGCTTATTTAGAATGAAGACAATTCTCCAGCTTGGTTGAAAGTTGTAATATATGTGTTAGGAAAGGTTAAATGTGGTCAAATTTGAATGCCAGATTGAATGCCAGATTTAGGAATTGGGTACTTATTCTATAGATAGTAGAAAGTTTGTTTGAACATTTTGTAACAGGAGAATGACTTGGGAGGAATAATGTTTTAGAAAGATTTGTCTTGCTGCAGAATGCAAGAAGGACTGCATTAGGGAGGGATTGGAGGTTGGAAGGTGAGGGATGAGGTTTACATAAAAAGGAAGGTAAAGCCTGAACTGGAGAGGTAGTGCCATAATCATAAAATAAAGGTGATGGAAGAAATATTCTTAAGGAAGAATCATTGGACTTTTTGCTATTTTGGGGTTTGGAGGGCAAGGGAGAGCCATGTGAAAGATGCCTTTCTGATTCAGAGTCAGAATGACATGAACATTGTTAGTTCTATTGCATATATCAGAGGAACCTGGTGCCAGGTGAGTGGGAGGGTAGGGAGGGTTTGGAAGTAGATTATAAAAACTGTAATTTGAAGGACATTTGGAAATATATGAGCATAAATATCCACACACAGTTTAAGATAAGGGACTGGCTGGGCGTGGTGGCTCACGCCGGTAATCCCAACACTTTGGGAGGTTGAGGTGGGCGGATCACTTGAGGTCAGGAGTTCCAGACCAGCCTGGCCAAGATAGTGAAACCCCGTCTCTACCAAAAAAAAAAAAAAAAAATTAGTGGTGGGCATGGTGGCACGCACCTGCAGTCCTAGCTACTCAGGAGGCTGAGGAAGGAGAATAACTTGAACTTGGGAGGTGGAGGTTGCAGTGAGCTGAGATCATGCCACTGCACTCCAGTTTCAGCAACAAAGTGAGACTCCCTCTCAAAAAAAAAAAAAAAAAAAAGATGAAGGACTAAAATTCTAAGAATAAAATTGGATCAAAATAAATATTTGGTAGTAATCTATATGGAAGTGATAACTGATTTTTAGAGTATGGAAGAATTCTCTGAGAGAGATGCTGCAAGATGAGCAGTAAAACAAAAATTAAACTTTGGAATTATTTGTTAAATTTGGTCATTGTGGACCAAATGTGTATGCATTGTCCGATGTACATGGACAAATAAGATGATCAAATGAATGTTTACAATTATTTTCCACATTACCCAAACAAGTTAATTTGGTTGTGACCTCATTAAATTAATGTCTTAAATTGATTTAAACTAGAGTGATGGGACCAAGGATAATTAAAGGCACTCCATCCATCCTGCAGCATTTCCAAAGTGGGAGGTATTTTGAAACGTTAACATAGATAGTATCATTATTTATTGCTTCATCTGCTCCTATACATATTTCATATGAATATATCAGATAACCTTCTTTGAAAAGACTTATTATTTGCCATGTTTTGGCAGTCCTTGATATTATAATGTCAGGACATCTTAATGTCATTTTTTTTTAAGGCTTAGAAACAATAAAACTTCTATACAAGTAACATTAAGCAGATCATCTCACATAATTCTTTTACTCATCTTACATCTCAATACCCTACAGGTTTATAACTCCCACTGAAATGTTTATTACATACTATTAACTAACAGTTATATAATGTTTTACAATGTGCTTTTACATAATGTTCAATTTGATGTTCATAGTAAATCTGTCAGCATGGCATTATTATTATTATAATTACATCTTAAAGATGAATAAAATGAAGCTCAGAGAGGTTAAGTAACTTTCCTAAATGTTTTTTTTTTTCTTTTTATTCCAAAGGTTTATGGGACTCCCCAGTAGTCTCTATGTAGAGTCTAATGTAGAATCCGGGACTGCACAGAAAATTCACTGGATATAAGAAACAATGATAACCTCTATTTTTACATCAAAAAAATAAGATACAAGTTAAATTTACTAATATTTAACGTATAGACTGACTCTCAAAGGTCAAACAGTCTCTATGGTCATGCTCCCTGTCCTGTTTGGTACATGAGAGGTCTGGAAGAGATGTCTGAGAGCTCCAAAATGCAAGCAGCTTCACAGAGGTACCCTCTCTTGTTTACTCACTCTCAGTGTTGTGTCATAAGCAGTTCAAATGAGCCTAGATACAAGAATTTATAGATTATAGGACCATTTTTTAATGGGTACTTCATTTTTGCTTTAATAATTATTTTTGATTGTTAATGAAAGTGACCATTTCCACATATACTGAATATTGAATTTATAATTCTTATATATTTCCTTATATTTCCTGTGTCCCATTCATCTATCTAGGACAAAAACCATAACAGAAAAGCCTATTTTAGATTGTAAAATTTCTAAATTATCTTTTAAACCAAATATGCAAAGATATTCCTTCTTATTCATGGTCTGATGAGTTGTCAGTGTGATGCTTTATATTCTTATACATACGATCCCTTCCTTCCTTCCTTCCTCCCTCCCTCCCTCCCTCCCTTCCTTCCTTCCTTCCTTCCTTTCTTCACTCTCTCTTTCTTTTCTTTTTTGAGATGGAGTCTCACTCTGTTGCCCAGGCTGGAGTGCAATGGCATGATCTCAGCTCACTGCAACCTCCATCTCCCGGGTTCAATGTTCAAGAGATTCTCTTGTCTCAGCCTTCTGAGTAGCTGGGATTACAGGCATCCACTACCACATCCAGCTAATTTTTTTGTATTTTTAGTAGTGATGAGGTTTTGCCATGTTGGCCAGACTGGTCTTGAACTCCTGACCTCAGGTGATCCACCAACCTCAGCATCCCAAACTGCTGAGATTACAGGCGTGAACCACTGTGCCTGGCCTCATATGATCCATTTCTGGCTAAACTGCTCCTCACAAAATACACAGATGACATACATAGATTCCTGTACAGAAAATGCTGATTGAAACTAACACTAGGCTGGGTGTGGTGGGTCACACCTGTAATCTCAGCACTTTGGGAGGCAGAAGTGGGTGGATCACATGAGGCTGGGATTTTGAGACCAGCCTGGGCAACATGGCGAAACCTTGTCTCTACTAAAAATACAAAAATTAGCTGGGTGTGATGGTGTATGTCTGTAATTCCAGCTACCTATGGGGCTGAGGCATGAGAATCACTTGAATCTGGGAGGTGGAGCTTACAGTGAGCAGAAATTGCTCCACTGCATTTCAGCCTGGGCAACAGAGTAAGACTCTGTCTCACCAAAAAAACAAAACAAAACAAAAAGAGGCTGGGCATAGTGGCTCACGCCTGTAATCCCAGCACCTTGGGAGGCCAAGGCAGGCAGATCACTAGGTCAGGGAGTTCAAGATCAGCCTGGCCAACATGGTGAAACCCCATCTCTACTAAAAAATACAAAAATTAACAGGGTGTGGTGGCACAGGCCTGTAGTCCCAGCTACTCGGGAGGCTGAGGCAGGAGAATTGCTTGAACCTGGGAGGTGGAGGTTGCAGTGAACCAAGACCATGCCATTGCACCCCAGCCTGGGCAACAGAGTGAGACTCCGACTCAAAAAACAAACAAACAAACAAAAAGAAACTAAGACTAACAATGTTTAAGCAAACAAATAAGAAAATAGCAGACTTGCATGTCTATCACTCAAAATGTTATTTTTATTTTTATTTTTTGAAATGGAGTTTCGCTGTTGTTGCCCAGGCTGGAGTGCAATGGCACAATCTTGGCTCACTGCAACCTCTGCCTTCCAGGTTCAAGCGATTCTCCTGCCTCAGCCTCCCAAATGGGGTCTTGGCATGTTGTCCAGGCTGGATTTGAACTCCTGAGCTTATGCAATCTTCTGATCCCAGTCTCTTTGGTAGCTGGGACTACAGGCATGCACCACAATACCTGGCCAAAATGTAAGATTTTCATCAGCAATATTATAAGATGAAACAATGATCTGAACAACAGCTGGCCAAAGTCAAATTTTTAGCTATCAGGAAGAGTATTTAAAAATATATTTACATCCACTATCATTATTCATAAATATCATGTGAGCTGTATATATTCCTTTGAGGTATTGGCTAAGGATAATCAAGCTATTTTAACACTAAATATCTAAAACATGAAGATGAACTCTATAATTGTTTCAGCAATGTTTGAAGTCATACTCAATCCAGTACTTTTCAAAATTTTACTAAAAATTAATGAAAACGTTGAGGGCTTCCTTTAACATTTCTTATTTAATTGCAAGAGGCAAAAAGCAGTTGTTTGCCCTGTCACAGTAGGCTAAAGTAATATACTCAATATAACTGCAAACCAACAGGCACTCCTTTTACAGCAAAAAGTGTTAGAAGTTGCAAAATGTAACTTAGAACAAATTTCAAATTAAAAGAGGGCATGCTATTCATAAAAGTATCAATATTTCTCCAAAGTCTAAGTTTGTGGTATTTGCTGGATTTTATTTCAATAACGAAGTCCATCAAGTATTACTTTTTGTGTAAGCCACTAAAGAATATGAGCCAGAAAAGATATTTCTCAATAATAAAAAACGTCTTTAATGAAAACGATTAACCAAGTTGCATTGCCTGGAATCTTAAAAAGTACTCCTAGGTCACAGGCGGATTTCAGAGCTAGTACAATGCAAATTGACTTACTCCATCATACGTGAACACATAAAGCAAAATTGAAGTCACACATGTACAAAGTGCTGATGGGCGTCATTAACATGGTTAATTTCATAAAATTAAAAACTTAAACCTACAATACAAGCTCTAAACATTGCAATCCATGTGGCATGATCATGAAAATCTTTTGTATTAATACTACAGTGAAGCTGATTGGTTATCCTGTATGAAAGACATGAAAGGAGTTGAGTTTATAGATGTGTATGTATTTTTCTTGAATAACAAAAGAGATAAGTATTCCTTTTCTGATATACTGCGATAGTAATAAGAGGTGGGGCTTTCAGGAGGTGATTAAGTAATGAGAGCAGCACCCTCATGAATGGGATTATGACCTTATAAAAGAGGTGTGAGGAAGCTTTACGTTTCTTTTTTGTCCTTTTAACCTTCTACCATTTTAGGACACAGCAAGAGGCAACATTTTGGAAGCAGAAGGCAACTCTCACTGGAAACCAAATCTACTGGCACCTTGATCTTGAACTTTGCAGCCTCCAGAACTGTGAGAAAATACATTTCTGTTCTTTATAAATTCCTCAGTCTCATGTACTTTGCTATAGCAGCAGGAACAAACTAAGACTATTTGAAATATATTATACAGGGCTGGGCACGGTGGCTTATGCTTGCAATCCCAGCATTTTGGGAGGCTGAGGTGGGTAGATCACTTGAGGTCAGGAGTTCAACACCAGCCTGGCCAACATGGTGAAACCCTGACTCTACTAAAAACACAAAATTAGCCAGGCATGGTGGCATGTGCCTGTAATCCCAGCTACTTGGGAGGCTGAGGCATGAGAATCATTTGAACTTCGGAGGGGGAGGTTGCAGTGAGTCGCGATCCACTACTGTACTCCAGTCTGGGTGACAGAGCGAGAGTCCGTTTCAAAAAAAAGGAAAATATATTACGCAGGATCAATGGGACAATGGCTTATATATTTTCTCTTTAATTTCCATTTAAAAAATAAAAGTTCAGTGCTCTAATTATAATTACCCTCAATGGTTCCTGGTGAGTTCTTACCAATTTTTTGTGTTTTGACTCCCTTTCTCTTTTTTGGAATATCATATGACTCATGCATTTTTATAAAATCATTTTCAGTCAGTTGAAGTCATTATTGTTTTTATGCTCAAATTATTCCGCCTTTGGCCAAATTAGCTCTTCTGTCCTTTTGACATAACCCTATTAACTTTTTCTTTTTTCACAGGTAAGGTCTTTCTATGTTGAGCAGGTAGGTCTCTAACTTGACCTCCCAAAGTGCTGGAATTGCAGGTCTGAGCCACCATGCCCAACCTCCCATTACAGTTTGATTACTATCAAACTTTGTCTTTTTTACAACAAAATATCCAAGGCTCATCTTATCTATTTCCTGACCCAAACCTCAATCTGGCTCTTTTTCTAAGGAGCCCTAGTTTGTTTTATCGGCAAGTGATATTTAGAGATCATAATCTGGTGCTAGGTTTAATGATTGCTTTTAGACTTTTTCAGTAAATAGAATTAGGAAATACACTTAAACTTTTTAACTAATTGTAGAAAATGTTAAACATACACAACAACAGTAAGAATAGCATAATAAATCCTCATGTGACAGCATCCAATTTTAACAGAAATCTATGTTTTGCTCATCTTGTTTTATCTAGTTCTCACACTTCCCTTGAAAACTATTAAAAATCTATGGCAGAAAAATGGTCAAGGAATACAAACTACAACTTCATAGATGAGGAACCAGAAAAGTTAAAAAAACAAAACAAAACAAACAAAAAAACAAAACTTGAACAGATAATCGAATTTCACAGTAATTCATTTTCAAATTAAAAAGTATAAAGATTAAAAAAATGATTTCCCCATTGTTGACTAGACTGCAGAAAAATGGGGCCAGGCATGGTGGCTCATGCCTGTAATCCCAGCACTTTGGGGATCCAAAGTGGGAGAATCACTTGGGCCAGAGTTCAAGACCAGCCTGGGCAATATAGCAAGAAAAAGAAATTAAAAAATAAAAATAGAAGTTTCATGCAATACTAAAGGGAATATAAGTGGGTATAAGCTTTCTGGACAGCAATTTTAAAAATTACATAAGAAATCTTCAAAAATATTCTTCTCTCTGATATAACAAATAGACTCTACAATACAGTGATTTAAATAATACAGAAGTTCACTTCTTTCTGTCTTCTCTATCTCTCTGTGTCCAGGTTAGCAGGGAGGCATTCATGTGTGAGGTCAAAACTGAGTCACAACCACAACCAAGTTCCAGCTGGCAACAAGAGGAAAAATATCATGGAGGAGTTATGACCAATGTTGTAAGGATCAGGCCTAGAAATGGCAGGCATCTTTTCCACTAATATCCTATTGGTAAAAATGTAGTCACATGGGCACACCACCTATCTGCATGGAAGGCTGGGAAATGTTGATCGGTTGGGCAGCCATATGTGTAGGAAGGAGAAAACAGAATTTGGTAGATACCTAGTAGTCTCTGCCATACCCTTGACCAGAAATTTTTCTTCTAAAGAATTGAATTCTAAAAATTAGAGACATTCCCAAAGATTTACCTGCAGGCATCACAGCTTTGTGTATAATTGCAAAAATTGAAATCAACATGAATGTCCAAAATAGTGAATTATTTAAATATATTATTATGCATATTATGAAGAAATACTCTGCAACTCTTAAAAATAAATGTGATGTGCCAGGTGCAATGGGATATGCCTGCAGGCCCAGCTACTTGGGAGGCCAAGGCAGGAGGATCACTTGAACTCAGGAGTTCAAGTCTAGCCTAGACAACATAGTGGACTTGGCCTCTAAAAAAGAAAAAAAAAAAAAAGAGAAAACTGATGTAATGAATATATAATGACCATAAAAGAAGTCTAACACTATAGTAGAAATGTTTGGGGCACTCATCCCATTCATAATTATTTTACATTTAAATTACTGTTCCTATGTAAGTGGTGAGCTTGGTAACCATTTTCATATCAGGTGATACTACTCCAGTAATCATAACTGTTTGAATGAGGAATAATCCCAATCACATTTTCTCTTAATAGTTTATTATACTGGGCATTGGGGTTGCAAGACAATGCACAGTCCAGGCTGAATACATGTCTTCATGTACCTGTGTGTAAATCCCACTTTTATTCTAAAATTCTTTGAATATTTTGTTTCTTGCAACCCAATGATCCCAAGAAAATTATATGCTTTTACCTGAAAATTAAAACCAATATTTATGGAAAAGTGTATATGCAGTATGATCCCACTTTATAAACAAAGACAAATTTATAGGAAAAAGGTTATATGGCTGATAACAATGACTGTCTCTGAGTGGTAGGATTACAGTTAATTTTTATTTTCTTCACTCTGTTTATCTTTATTTTCTGAACTTTCTACAATGAACATGTTTTATTTTTACTTTTGTTAAAATAAATAACATTTAATTTGACAGGACATTCTAAAAATCAACCTTTGGTAACTTCAGTATTCACTGGCACATTAGTCTGTGCCTGTTTCTGGGGGTCATTCCCATGAGAAAGGCAGGTAGAACTTATGAGGATAGAGCAGTTGAAATATTATAGGTTTCATATTTTACGGCTTTATTGAAAACATTGATATATTGAATATTTGTAAATTTTAATTTCATTTTCTTTTATAATCCTCAGTGTGAGGCTAAGGTATAAGGAGATTGGTAAGGAAGTATGATACATATTGAATCCGATGTCAAGGTACCATTGGTGCCTGGATCTGACCAATAGACCAAGGGAAAAATCTCAAAGAATGAGACTTGTAATGAGAACACCACAAACTTGAATACCTTATACACAAAACACAAACATTGTTATGCATAATGTGCATGAACCCTGAAACAAAGATAATGATTTGGACCTCCCAACTGAAGTGGCATGAACAAAAGAAACAGCAGAGAAAAAAACCAAAATAACTAAAATAAATTGTTAGAGAAAAATTACTTTAAAAATAGCTATAACACTTTGCAATTTCAGTAACAGTTCTGCCTCTGATGCAATGTAAAACATGTATTAGACATTCAGTCTCCACAATAAATTTTAATGAGCACTACAAATTTAGAATATATAAAAATATCAGTAATCTATGAATTCATCAACATAACTCACTTTTCAGTTAAGTTAGGCTGAGTTGAAATTCTACTAAGTTTTCCCATATTCTTGATAAAGGCTAAATTTGAAATTATTTATTTAGATGACTGTTAATTGGCAATTTGATAGTAGTTACATTTTACGTAACACTTGATATAATAATTAACCAAAATTAATTGGTTCAATATTATCTTCTGTGGTTTATTGATCCAAAAGTACATATTTGTTATGTAAACTTATACTATGTAAACTCGTATTCGCTTTTTGCTTCCTTGAATTAATAAAGCCCGTTAATGCAAACCTAAGTCTTCATAGACTTTTCCAATCCTTAGTTAAATATTAAAAACTGACTACTGTAGTTATTTGCTAGGTATAAAAGGTGTGACTCAGAGCAGAGAATAGGATGTCAGCAAATAGACAATAAGATGTCAGCAAAAGTGCCTCAAATTGTAACTGCGACAAGTTAAGGGCATTGTAAATACTATAGTTATATGTTATTTGCAGCTTGCAACTTCTACTGAAATGAGTTTAATCATGCCTTTCACACAGCTGAAGTTTGTGTCACGATTTAAGCTGATTTTCTCATTCTTATCAAAGTCTTACCTGGGGGTAGGGAGAGGTAGACCTGCATCCCACCTCTAATACTATCATTTTAGGAAGAGACAGGCATAAATCTGCTCATCTAGTAGAACACATGATGTTAGAGTATATTTTGTTGAATGCTATGGAATATTAATATAATTAATTCTAAAATATCACCTAAAAATGTCAACTGTAGATCTGACTGTACTAGATATAAAAAATAAAACAACATATACTTTCTCTACTGCTTTTCTGTCCATTCATTGTCACCAGGCCCAGCCAGTCCCTGACACCCAATACACTACCAATAAGCCACCGTCATCTTTTCCTGGGGTTTTGCATTCACTGGTTGTGTTGCCTAGTATAGCCTATAATAATCGTTAGTCATCATTAAGGAACTAAGTATTATCTGCTCCTTGCCTTGGAACACTCTATTTGGAGTTGTGCAAATGAGAAGCCCCAAATTTATAAGTCAATATCCTCATTTCAGAGCCCCCACCCTTGTGACTTTAAATTGGAGCTCCTGTTTGACACCACTGTGTATCTCTGTCTCTGGCCATCACTTTTTTAATACATATGACTTTCCTTTCCCAATTTCCAGACAGGGCTCTTGGAATGTATGTCAAACTCAATTACTCTATAGAAAAACTGTCTTTCTCTTCAACGTGCTCCCTTGAGGTTGCTAGGTGAATTCTGTACCTCCTATTTTAAAAGAGGCTTTCCCAAACTGTGCCATTTATCAATTTATTGCCCATCAGTCTCCATCTACCATTCTCCGCTGTCTTGTGAACTGAAGAGGGACCCTGTAAACATTTCTTTATTGCCAGCAGGTACAACATTAGACATTGTCAAGAAAGGGTTCTGGAGGGCCACTTCAAGTCCACTGCAAGAGGAAGGGGCTGCTCCTGATGGCCAGGTTTGCTGTTTCCTTCAGCAAGGCTGCTGGCGGATGTGCATGTCAGAGTTCCCATGGTTCTCACCTCAGTGACACTTGACAACCAGCATCGGGCCCACCAAAACCTCCAAGAAGTTTAGTCACCAGGTGAGCCACTTCCTGTGAACCCCTCCAGCATATACCTTCTGGTAAGTTTCTATGCTGTTGGTAGTCTGTGCGTTCCTATAGCAAGCACACTCTCTCCAACAAGGCATGAATCATGAATCTATATTGGTTGAAGGTGGAACAGTTGGTTCCTTCTACATTCTTGGTTCCTTCATTGTTCATTCTTCCTCAGTCCCAGAAGTAGCTGCTTTTTGCATTTGTTATCTCTGTATTCATTAGAGTTCCCTTTTATTATGATTAATATAATACTCCTTTATATTAAATTTTTCCTTTTCAAATAACTGGTGTGGATCGAAGGCATCCTGAATTTGGTATAAGTCTATCTTACTGTTTTCAGATACTGTAGTAAGAGGCATAAACTTTATGTAATTTTAGTAGATTTGCAGTTGCAAAATATTTGAAATAAATTTATGGCAGGAAGGTTTGAAGTGAGAAAATTATGTAATTGAGTTACATTCTTATGTAAATTGGGAAAAGACTGCCATTATAGCACTTTAGCAGCATAATATCTTTGTTCAGCTCTCATGACTATCCTGTCCTATAAGAGTAAGCTTAGAGAATCACTAAAACCAATGAACAAAATGTTGCTTAATAGAACAATTGTTGAGTTTATAAAAATTTATTCAGTTAGAGAATAAGGTTTTGTCTTCAGACTTTCAGTTATGGGTGACCCAACTTCTCTAAAATCATCTTTCCATACTATCTCTGTTTGTCAATTTAATTTTCTTTGTTTCTACTGTTCAGGATTAAAATATCAGCATTATCTCTAATTTATTCCAGCATTATTAAATATCTACTATTTGCATGGCACTGACTGGGGAATGGAAGCAGGAGCAGAAAAATGTAGATATAGAAAAATTGCTCACTGTAAATAACCAATACTTTTAGAAATAATGTAAGTGACTAATGTTCAGAAATAATGTATCACCAAAATTTCTTTTTTTTCAAAATTTCTTATGGTTCATTAGTTTGTAAATGTAATGTAAATGTTGAGAATATTATTCTTGTCATAATGTAAAGCCATGTTCTTTTACTTTAATCTCTGGAAAAAAATCACAAATCATTCATTATTGTTTTAAGACAAGGTGTGCGACAGTTGAATAAAAAGTTAAGTGCATTCATTTCTTTAATTAAATCTAAGCTGTAATTCAAATGAACTTTGGAAAACACTAACTTTAGTCTGATTAGTTACTAGTAGTTCATTGGGTATCTACAACAACCATACTTTCATTCTAAAAGTTGACAGTGATTCTCTTATATCCCATGATAGAAATATGAAGATTATTCCACAATACCTTCTGTAGACATAAAACTTTATAAACCCACTAATGCCAAAGGGCAAGGTGATAATCCCCTCAAAAAAAAAAAAACAAACAAAAAAAAAAGAGAAAAACAGGAAGTCATGCTGTTCTCTTCTTGAACACCACCTTTGCTGTCACCATGGTACTGTGATCTAGGGTAAGGCAGTTTTTGTTGTTGTTATTGTTTTAAATAACAGAACATTCAGATAAATATCCTAAAGCAGTATAAAATTGGAAGGCTAGCATCTCTACTTTAATTAATTACATTTGCTTCTATGTTCTACTTAAGCCAAAGCCTTCCTTTAAGACCCATTCTTACCTTCGTTCACGATTTGCTGTCCTCTCACAGTCTTCTGGCCTCAATACCCTTGTACAGTGACTCTCCTTTCTTGTATCCTGACCTGGGGATTCTCCAGCTCCCTCCAAGTGACAGAGAATCCAAAGTGCTGGTCCCAGAGCCTTTCATGTCTCTTATCAGTTCTCCTGTTGCAGACTCCAGGTGATAAGGGCTTTACTTCTGCCTGAGAGTCTCCTGGTCTGAAGACAGGTAGAAGGAAGCCTTGTCCTCCTGAGCCGCAGTTGAGTTGGTGGGTGCTTTCACTTTGCTTCAGGCTGTCCACCAACAATGGCTGAAGCATTCTTCCTGAGTGTGCCTACACACAGAAATACTTTATCCTTTTTTTAAAAAAAGTTTTATTTAAAACATTTTATTTAATATTTTATTGATTGATTGATTGATTTTGGAGACGGCATCTCGCTCTCTCACTCAGGCTGGAGTGCAGTGGTATGATCTTGGCTAACTGCAACCTTTGCCTCCCGGGTTCAAGCAATTCTCCTGCCTCAGCCTCCCAAGTGGCTGGGACTACAGGCACATGCTGCCACGCCTGGCTAATTTTTTGTGTTTTAGTAGAGACAGGGTTTCACCGTGTTGCCCAGGCTGGTCTCGAACTCCTGATCTCAGACAATCCACCAGCCTCGGCCTTCTAAAGTGCTAGGGTTACAGACATGAGCCACTATGCCCAGCCTACTCTATCTATCTTATCTTTTTTCCAAAAATAAATCTATCCTCAATATGAAGAATTTAGATTTTTCCTGTTTAAATGACTCCAGTACTAAGCTTTAGGGAACAGTAAGGTTCGCTATTATCTTTACGTTAAGGGAATAAGCACTTTGAAGGCCCAGATGGTGTATTATTTATGTAGGTATTTAATAATGCTGAACTTGAGTCAGAAACAAAACCAGTGTTTTAAGCCCAGTTGATTGGCAGAAGAATACAATTTTTCTCCTGATAATGAGAGATGAATTTCAGTTCATGTTGCCCATAAAATATTGACTTCATGCAACATGTACAATGTATTTCCCAGGACAGAAAACCGGGAATCAAAGCTCTCTTTTGTGAAATCTAATTTGCCATCATGTCCAGTTAATCCTACCTCATGGCTATATCTCTTGACTCTGTTATCTTTTTTCCAAACCCTTTCTTACACTGTAGGGCCTGCAGAATAAATTCAAGTTTTGTAGCGTTGCATACAAAGCACTTTATTATTTGACCCTTGCTTACATTGTGGCCTCATTTTTAGCTGCCCCTCGTTTGTGGTCATGAAAATGCAGCACTCAGGTTTTCTACTGCGGAGAGTGTAATTGACTGATGGCCCCAGATAGTGTCCGCTGGATCCACTCTTGTGTTCATGTAGACACCACGATTCCCACAGGGTTTTCTCAGCCAGAGTACAACACGGAAGGATTCTAATGCAGGCTTATTTTTATGAGACAGGGTTCCTTTAACAGGTGATTCTGGCTGGAGGACTCTGCTAAACTTGGCCTGGCTAAGAATTTCTTTTTCTTTATTTTTTTTATTTTTATTTTTTTTCCAAAATCAGAGACAGACTTGCTCTGTCACCCAGGCTGAAGCATAGTGACGTAATCTTGGCTCATTGTAACCTTGAACTCCTGGGCTCAAGTGATTCTCTTGCTTCAGCCTCCTGTGTAGCTGGAAATACACCCAGCTAATTTTTTATTTTTATTTTTTGTAGAGATAGGATATTGCTATTTTGCCCAGGCTGGCCTTGAACTCCTGGCCTCAAGCAATACTCCTACCTTGGTCTCCCAAAATGTTGGGATTACAGGCGTGAGCCATAGCGTCTGGCTTGCCTAAGATTTTCTTAGAGCTGTGCCACATCTGAGACTCATCCTACACAATTCTCCTCCACATCTTTCTCTGTCTCTCACAGAGGTCAGACTGCCATTATGGTCTGAAGGTTCCTCCTGCCTTCCTTAGCTCTTTCTTCTTTATCCATCATAGGCATTTCTCACCAATACATTTCTTGCACATCTAATCCCGTTTTGGCATTTCTTCTGGGAGGATTCAAATTAACAAAACTGGTGCCAGGAGTGGTTTGAAGAAACAAGAGATAAGACTGAGTTTGGGAACCTTCAGGCAGAGTAGGTCATCTTAAGGGTTGTATGTGGATAGTTTGTGGGACTAGGTGGCAGCTTAATTGCTAAAGGTTTCACTGATGCTAATCTTGAAAGGGAAAACACCCCAGTGGAGGGGAACACCACTGCACATGCAATGATTCAGGCATTTGAAAGACATGGGGGAAATGGTACTACAAGGACAGCAGAGATAACCAGTTCCCATCAAATTTGTACTGCTTTGCAGAGGAATAGTGAAAAATTGAGGACTATTAACAAGCGATTAAAGCTCGGTGTGGAAGCTGGAGGACTTCTTTTGTAGTTTACAAAAAGGGTCTTATCTTCTGCAATGACGGAGCAGAGAGAGCTCAGCAGAGAACTGCCTATCTGATACAGGTATACCTTGGATATATTGCAAGTTAGGTTCCAGACTGCAGCAATAAAGCGGGGTCACAATCTTTTTGGTTTCCCAGTGCGTATAAAAGCTATGTTTACACTATACAGTAGTTTATTAAGTGTGACATCATATTATGTCTTAAAAAGTTTATACCTTAATTTATAAACACGCTATTGATTAAAAAATGCTAACAATCATCTGAGCCATCAGTGAGTCATAATCTTCTTGCAGGTAGAGGGAACAGTAGTGTGTGCTATTATCTGGGTGACAGAGTGAGACCCTGCCAAAAAAAGAAAGAGAAAGGAAGGAAGGAAGGAAGGAAGGAAGGAAGGAAGGAAGGAAGGAAGAAGGAAGGAAAGAAAAGAAAAGAAATTGCAGCAATTCAGTCACTCTTCAGGCTCCACTTCTAATTATAGTTCTCTTGCTATTTCCAATGCATTTGCAGTTAGTTCCAGGACTAAAGTCTTGAACCCCTCAAAGTCATTCATGAGGATTGCAATCAACTTCTTCCAGACACTCAGACACTGTTAATGTTGATATTCCGCCCATGAATCACAGGTGTTCTTAATGGAATCTAAAATGGTGATTTTAAATTTTTTTTTTTTTAATTTTTTGAGAGGGAGTCTCGCTCTGTTGCCCAGGCTGGAGTGCAGTGGCGCGATCTCAGCACACTGCAACCTCCGCCTCCTGGGTTCATGCAATTCTTCTGCCTCAGCCTCCTAAGTAGCTGGGATTACAGGCATGCACCACCATGACCAGCTAATTTTTTTTTTTTTTTTTTTTTTTTGAGATGGAGTCTCACTCTGTTGCTCAGGCTGGAGTGCAGTGGTATGATCTTGTCTCACTGCAACCTCCACCTCCTGGGTTCAAGTGATTCTCCTGCCTCAGCCTCCTGAGTAGCTGGGATTACAGGCATGTGCCACCACATCTGGCTAATTTTTGTATTTTTAGTAGAGACGGGATTTTGCCATGTTGGCCAGGCTGGTCTCAAACTCCTGATTTCAGGTGATCCACCCGCCTGGGCCTCCCAAAGTGCTGGGATTACAGGCATGAGCCACTGCGCCTGGCCTAAAATGGTGACTTTTACCCAGAAGATTTTCAATTTACTTTGCTCAGATCCATCAGAGGATCACTATTTATGGCAGCTACAGCCTTACAAATAGTATTTCTTATATATTAAGACTTTAAAGTCAAAATGATTCCTTGATTCACGGGCTGCAGAATGAATATTTTGTTAGCAAACATGAAAACAACATTAATCTCCTTGTAAATCTCCATCATGGTTTTTGGGTGACCAGGTGCATAATCGATGAGGAGTAACATTTTCAAAGGAATTTTTTTTTTTTTCCTGAGCAGTAGATCTCAACAGCAGACTTAAAATATTCAGTAAACCATGCTGTAAACAGATGTGGTGTCATTCAGGTTTTGATGTTCCACTGATAGAGCACAGGCAGAGCAGATTTGGCGTAATTCTTAAGAACCCCAGGATTTTCAGAATGGTAAAAGAGTATTGGCTTCCACTTAAAGTCACCAGCTGCATTAGCCCCTCACAAGACAGTCAGCTTGTCCTTGGAAGCTTTGAAGCCAGGCATTGACTTCTCTCTAGCTATAAAAGTACTAGAAGGGATCTTCTCCCAATAGATGGTTGTCGTGTATACATTATTGTTTAATGTAGCCCACTTTATTAATAATCTCTGCTAGATCTTCTGGATAACTCGCTGCAGCTTCTACATCAGCACTTGCTGCTTTACCTTGCATTTTATATTATGGAGGTGGCTTATATCCTTCCCTCACAAAGTAATCTCTGCTAGCTTCCAACTTTCCTGCTGTAGCTTCCTCAGCTCTCTCAGCCTTCATAAATTGAAGAGAGTTAGGGACTTAGTCTGGGTTAGGTTTTGGCTTAAAGGAATGTTGTGGCTGGTTTGATCTATCCAGACCACTAAAATTGTCTGCACTATCAGCAATAAGACTGTTTCTCTTTCCTATCATCCATGTGCTCACTGGAGTGGCATTTTTTGGCTTCCTTTAAGAACTATTCCTCTGCATTCACAACGTGGCCAACTGGTGCAAGGGGCCTAGCTTTTGGTCTGTTTTGGCTTTTGACATGCCTTCCTCCTGAAGTTTAATCATTTCTAGCTTTTTATTTAAAATGAAATGTGGCTGGACATGGTGACTTATGCCTGTAATCCCAGCACTTTGGGAGACCAAGGCAGGAAAATTGCTTGAGGACAACAGTTTGAGACCAGCCTGGGCAACACAGTGAGACCCCCAACTCTACAAAAATTGAAAATCTTAGCTAAGGCATGATGGTGCTCCCCTATATTCCTAGATACTCAGGAGGCTGAGGCAGGAAGACTGCTTGAGCTGAGTTCAGAGTGACAGTAAGCCATGATAGCACCACTGCACATCAGCCTGGGCAGCAAAACCCTGTCCTTAAAAAAAAATAAAATGTGAAACTCTGCCTTTCATTTCATGATTTAGAGGCCATCGTAAGGTTATGAATTTGCCTAATTTTAATATTGTTGTATTTCAGGGAATAGGGAGGCCCTAGGAAAGGAAGAAAGATGGGGGAATGGCAGGTTGGTGAAGTGGTCAAAACACATGCAACATTTATTGATGAAGTTCACCATCTTACATGGTTACAGTTTGTGGCACCTCAAAACAATTACAATAGTGACACCAAAGATCACTGATCACCACTGATCACATGTCATTATAAGAGATGTAATAATAATGAGAAAGATTAAAATATTGTGAGAATTACCCAAATGTGACAAATAGACACGAAGCAAGAACATGCTCTTAAAAAATGGCACATGATACACTTGCTTGATGCAGGGTTGCCACAAAACTTTAATTTATAAAAAACACAGTATCTGGAAAGTGCAATAAAGTGAAGTGCAAGGAAATGAGATATGCCTGTACTTTGAGTCACGGAGCTCCAGAAACATTTAAATGCTCAGCCAAGGCAGATATGTTATATAAAGTTCAGGGACTTGATTGGGAAAACTGAGACCCTGAAAAATGGGACAGACATCTGGATGGATGTCCTCAGTCATGCTGGTTCTTTAGACTTTCCTGAATCCTCAACTCTCTCGTAAGTGCTTTGCCTCTCATAATAAGAACTAACTCTTCTTCTCTGCTGGAAAACCAGGCGCAGTTATCTCACCTACAAGGAGCAGATGCTTCTCAGGAGCTGCCCCCACTCCCTCTCTTGGTTACTAGGCTTGCAGTTGAGTGTTAGCTCCCAGAATTACCTGCCTAGATACATTTTGGCTTGAAAAAGGAAGAAATAAATTATGAACCAAAGAAGAGCTGCAAAACTTGATAGCATCTGCTAGCAGAAACCAGGGGAGTAACCCTGGTATTGGATTTTTAAGGTGTTAATAAGGGGATCAGAACATAAAACTGTATAAGGAAATAATTAATTGATTTAAGAGCACTTTCTTAAGACATGGAATTTAATACATTGGCAAGGTTATCAGAAGATGGGAAAAATTCTTTCCTAGGCTGGCTTTTAGAAGCCTATAGAAAACAACAGTCAAGGCTAAACAAAGTGGGAATGCCCAGGTTGCACTGTCAGATGGTAGAAGAAGGGCTACAAAGGCCCAGGGATGTGGACATGCTGGGGTGGATACATGGTGTGAGGCTAAAAGACATTCAGAGGTTTATGGCCCAGAGGCAGCCCAGAGGACATAATGTACACCAAGGCCATCTGGAATGCCCTGGTGAGAGAGGCTCTGGCTTTATCATAAGGTCAGTGGTGGCTTACTTCAGCAGGCCAGGGCTGACAGTAGGACTGGTGGTCACAGAACTGGGCCCATATATCCATAGAGACAGAACCCTTTCCTACTACCCCCACCCTCCCCTCGCTGGCGTTTCTTCACAGTGACAGATATCTATTCTTTTTTTTTTTTTCCACCAGTTGTCAAATGATCCTTTATTGAAATACTTTCCTTTGTGCTTAACTGGCTGGGCATTCCACAGCGCCACTGTTGATGTCATCTATGATGTCATGAGGGTGGCGGCCATCAACATTACAGCCCACAGACTGGGCGGTCCCCAGGATCTCTTTAATGGTTCCAGAGAGTTCTCTGGCTAAGGATCGGTGCCGCATCTGTCGAGCAATGTTGATGATCTCATCAAAAGTGATGTTCCCACTGTGTTTAATGTTTTTCTGTTTCTTTCTGTCTCTTGGTGGTTCCTTGAGGGCTTTGATGATCAGGGCAGAGGCAGAAGGCACCACCTCAATCTGGGCCTGTCTGTTCTGAATGGTCAGTTTCACTGTAATCCTCAGGCCCTTCCAGTCACCCGTTGCCTTGGCAATGTCATCACCAACCTTTTTCGGAGACAGACCCAGGGGGCCGATCTTGGGGGCCAGCGCAGAAGTCGCACCGACTTCACCTCCGGTGCACCTCAGGTATACGACTTTGATCTCGTTGGGGTCGAACTTCGGCGGCATGGTGGAGGCGGCTGGTGTCGGATGAACCCGGATTCGGGACGACCGAAGAAAGTTGCACCTTCGCCCCCTCCGAGCCGAAAGCCGAGAGCCAGATATCTATTCTTTATATGTATTTGCCTTTCCTTCCCGCAGAGCTTCACTAATGCCACTTTCAAGTGTTCGTAGAATGTTTTATCCAGAGGTATGGAAACTCATATATTGTAATGTTGAATCAGGAGCTCTATTTAATGGTGAAGAGGCTGGGCGTGGTGGCTCACGCCTGTAATCCCAGCACCCTGGGAGGCTGAGGCGGGCAGATCACCTGAAGTCAGGAGTTTGAGACCAGCCTGGCCAACATGGCGAAACCCCGCCTCTATTAAAAATACAAAAATAAGTCGGACATGGTGGTGCATGCCTGTAATCCCAACTACTTGGGAGGCTGAGGCAGGAGAATCACTTGACCCAGGAGGCAGAGGTTGTGGTGAGCCGAGATCTCGCCACTGCACTCCAGCCTGGGTGACAGAAAAAGACTCTGTCTCAAACAATAACAACAACAACAACAACAACAACAACAGTTAAGAAGGTGCTGAAGGGGTTCATGACCATAGGATCCACTGGCCATATGTTATACCATGCCATTCAGAAATAGCCTCATAGAGTGCTGACATGGCCTTCAAAGCACAGATGAATTGCCAGCTCAGAGGAAACACCCTGAAAGAATGGGGTGTCATCTTCTAGGTAGCAGTATACATAAGTTCAGAGACTTCTTTATTATGCTGTGTCTCCAGTAGGAAGAATACATGGGTCCAGAAACCAAAGGTGATTTTGAGATCCCTATCCTCATCACTGGGTTCTGCAGGGTTGGAGGTTCTGGTCCCCAAAAGGGACGCCCTCTCTCTGTCCAAGTGGCATAACAAAGGTCTTAATGAACTACAGTATATGGTTACTTTCAGGACACTTTGGATTCTTATGTCCCAGGACCAGCAGGCAAGAAAAAGAGTCATTATCATGACAGGGATAATTGATCTTGATCAGCAGGTGGAGATAGAGCTGCTTTTACACAATGGAGTCCAGGAAGAACATGTGTGAAGCCCAGGTGGAGATCTGCCACCTGTGAAGAAGAGGGGGAAGTAAGTAGAGTCTCAGACTGCAGCTCTAAGAAAGACTCAGCCCTTCCCACAGGGAGTCCACAAGTCAAAGTCACCTGATAAGGTGGTCTTGCATCTCATAAGGATGGGCCTGCATTGGTGTCTCCACCATGCTCAGTCATTAGTGATCTTCTTGGGCAACTTCAGGTGTTGTGTTTGCTCCATTATAATTGTGAATGGACTTTTTTTTTCTTTTTTTTTTTTGAGATGGAATCTTGCTCTGTTGCCCAGGCTGGAGTGCAGTGGCGTGATCTCGGCTCAATACTAAGTAGAGAAGTATATCTGTGTGTCGCAAGGCATGGACTTTGGTGGCCGTAAAAATGCACCAGTCAAATCTCCTGCTGCATGGAGCAAAATCCACTAAGAACTCTAGATGCTGTACTTCTGGACCTGATCCTGTGTTCACACCAGGCCACAATTCCCACAGGCTGCTGCCAGCTAATGACTGAGCATGGTGGAGGTACGAATGTGGGCCCATCCTTATGAGAAGCAAGATCCCCTTAACAGCTGTCTTTGACTTGCGGACTCCCTGTGGGAATGGCTGAGTCTTTCTTAGAGCTGCAGTCTGAGACTCTACTTACTTCCCCCTCTCCTTCACAGGTGGCAGATCTGCATCATGGTCTGAAAGCTCTTCCCACTTTCTCTGGCTCTCTCTTCTTTATCCACCATCACAGTTCCCTCGTCCCCAAATACGTCTCCTGTGTGTCTACTCCTATCTTGCTGTCTGCTTTTCTAGGGACCCAAACTAACACATTCCCATGTGTAGCTCCTCTTCTACATAACCCCTATGCTGTAGTCATACAAAAATTAATTAGATTTTCCTGAACTTGTCATGTTCGTTCTCTTCCTGAATCTTCGAAGAAGTAACTTTCTCTGCTGAAACACCCTGACACCTCATATCCAACTGGCAAATTCATCATCATTTTTCAATTCTTTAACTACTTGTAAGTATTTGTACAATTTCATTGCAAGCATAGACTTTATCGTGTACTGCTTGGTATCTGTCACACTCTGGCACCATGGTAAATACACAGTAAGTACTTTATAAAGTCCTTTTTATTGATTCTATTAAATAGTAGAAGTAAATATATCTTAACTTTTAGTAAAATCATTACCTGCATTTATTTTACCAGAAGACTATTTCACAAGGGAAAAGCAAGTGAAATTTTCTTGTATGCTTGAGCCCAGTGGAGAATATTCAATTTTCCAAAGTAAGAGTAACATTTATGTAGTGTTTAGAGAGTAAGAATGCACTTAAATATTCCCTTTACAACATCATTTTCAATGACAGGCATGGAATCCCACAATTAGGCTATCTTCTAAATTATTTAAGTTGGACACATAGGTTGTTTCTAATGTTTTGCTAACACAGATAGTGTTACAATAAACATCCTTTAAAAAGTGTTTACTTACATTTATTATTATTGCTATAGGCTTCTTGAGCTTTCATGTTACCACACTCTCTTGATTTTCCTATTACCATTCTGACCGTTTCTTCTAGTTTTATTCTGCTGGCTTCTCTTCATCTGCCTGACACCATTCATATTCCTGAGTTCTCATACATTGGTGTGCTTTATGTTCATTCTATATATTCTCCATATAAGGATCCTGACCCACCCCCGATCCCCTGCCAGTCATGCCCTCAATTACCACCTTTTCACTAAATCCATTGTTTGACCAAATATCTTCCTGAATGACAGATGCTCTTATCTTACTGTAGATATTGTATTATTTATATTCTTTTATTGCAAGCAACAGAAACTAAATATGGCTCACTTAATCAAGAGGCAAATTATTGGCAGGATGTTAGAATTCGCAGAACTTGGAACTAGGTAAGAACTAAGAGGATAAATGACTGCAATTATTTTGTAGCAAGAACTCTGCTACATTTTAGTCTGTCCATTCAAGATTTACATTCTTGAATGGTATCTGATTGGCTTCCCTAGGATTACCTGCCTCCTCTGTAATTAGTGAGGCAGGTTTTTAATGACAATTGTAATGGATTTTGTCCATTGATTTAGAGAGAAAACCCCAGATGTTATAAGAAAGAAGAAATTGATGTTAGGTAGCCAGAAATCAAACCAAACTAAACCAAAACCAAAACAACAAATTAATAGATGTTAATTTCTTTCTCTAGAACACTTAAAATTCCATATTCTTAAAAGGGAAGTCATAGTCTCCCCCAATAAACCCTCTTCTCTTCTATGGTCTTATATTTCACTAAACGGTATCCCTACTTATCCAGAGACTTAAGCCAGAAGCCTGGTAGTTCTTCTTGACGCCTTCCTCTTTATTACCCCCTACTTCTTGATCAATCATTAATTCTATCATTCCCACCATCTAAATAACTCCCCAATCCATCTTTGTCTCTCATCACCACTGCCACCACCCTAGGTAGGCCAAGTAATCATTGTTTTTCACCTCTATAACCAAAAGACTCCAAGTGGCATATTCTGTTATTCTCTAATCATACTGCAATTGGAGCAATTTTATAAATGAAAATATAATTACATCAGAACTTCTCTAGAAAGTTTGTATTAATTTTTATTCAAGCAGTGTATATAGGCCTCTAAGTCCTCATATTCTTTGGATTACTGTGTATTATTATAAAAAAAAACTTTGCCAAGTAGATTAGCAAAAACTTCCATCAATTGTTTTAATAGAAATTTCTGTAATTATTAGTGAGATCGATGTTTTTCTCATATATTTCTTGATGAGTCATACTACTTCTTTTGTGTCTTGCATCTTCATGCCCTTTGATTATTTGTTGCAGTATTTACATTAGTATTGATTTAGGATAGTTTTGGGGCTATTTATATTTTTATGGACTAAGGATAGTTTTTTTCTTTTTTGAGAATATCGACTATTAAGCTGGGTGCAGTGGGGTACGCCTGTGGTCCCAGCTACTCAGGAGACTGAGGTGGGAGGGTTCCTTGAGCCCAGGAGTTTTAGTCCAGTCTGGGCAACATAGAGAGACCCAGTCCCTAGGGGAAAAAAAAATACTAACTCTTTCTTGGCCATATTTATTGCAAATGATTCCCTTTTTTGACTTTTAGTGTTATTTTCTGGGCAAAAAGTTCTTATATTTTATATAGTAAAAAATGTAAGCATTGAATCTGTCAATTTTGCTTTATGCATTGCGCTTTTGATACCACGTTTTAATATCATGGTAAGAAAGGCTAGCCTACTCACAAGGTTATGTACAAATTCAGTATGTTTTTCTTTGATCATTTTAGGGTTTCAATTTTTACATTAAGTTCTGTCCCATCTGGACTGTTTGGAGTGTGTGGAGTGTTTGTGGGTTGGTGTAGAGAACTCATTTTTTTTTTTTTAAAGAGTCACTATTGAGATGCTTTAACTCAATTTATAAAAGAATACATTGTTTTTTCAGACTTGAAATATATGGCCACTTTTATCATATACACAATTGTTATGTATTATTCACTTGTTTCCAGATAATCAAAAATTCCAAAGTATTATTCAACCGGATTATTCATTTTATTTCCTAGATTTATACCTGCATAATCTTTAGCTGCTTCAAGAATTGTATTTCCTTCTCAAAAATGAGCAATAATCTTTAACGAAGATTTTAACATGAATTTGTTATAGGAGATTTTATTTTATTTATTTTTTTGAGATTGGGACTTGTTTTGTTGCCCAGGCTGGAGTGCACCGACCTCCTTGGTGTTTCTAGAACAGTCCAGGCATGCTTTCACTTCTGCCTGGAACACACTTTTCTCAGGTACCCACATAGCTGGATCCCTTACCATCTTAATTATTTGCTTGATCATGGCTTGCTGCAGCTTCAACCTCCTAGTCTCAGCCTTAAGTAGGTGGGATTACAGATGCGTGCCACCACGTTTGTCTAATTTTTTTAAAAAATTGTTTTTGGGATGGAGACTCACTTCATTACCCAAGCTGGTTTCAAACTTCTGGGCTCAGGGATCCTCCCACCTTGGTCTCCCAAAGTGCT